AACGTCATTTCTGAAAGTATTCCAGCACCGTTAAGATTTGAACCCACATCAGCCGTATCCGCAGGCGAGCGCGTAGTCGCCAATCGCGGCGGCTTCGCGTCTCTGACTAGCATCATGTGTGTCAGGGGCACAGGAACCTGAGAGCTTAGGCAGGTTGAGCTCCCTCCAAACTCAGAAAGATGAATAAATGTGCTAATCGCTCCATCCCCGGAAATATTTATACATGTGCTAATCGCTGTATCCTCGGAAAAATTGATTTATGTGCCAGTCGCTCCATCCCCGGAAAGTTTTATACATGTGCCAGTCGCTCCGTCCCCGGAAAGTTTCATACATGTGCCAGTCGCTCCGTCCCCGGAAAGTTTTATACATGTGCCAGTCACTCCGTCCCCGGAAAGTTTTATACATGTGCCAGTCGCTCCGTCCCCGGAAAGTTTTATACATGTGCCAATCGCCGAGTCTCCCGGAAAGATTCAGTTGAGTTGAGTCAAGAATTGACATAGCAGCACTTGGGGCATTCCCATGCATGCGCCGCCCTCATCTTCAGCAGCTAGCGCAGATTTCCAATACTAATGGTACCGGTCACAATCTGGTTAAATTTCCGTCTTGCCTTTCCCCTGAGTGTAGTGAGCCGGTCAGACCCAGGTGCCTCATTCTTTTCAGGCCATAATAATCTTTTTCTCTGCTGATTCTGTTGCTTGTCCCTAAAGGGCCTCGACCACATCTGCCTTGTCATGTATCAGTTCACCATCAAGTGGTGCAGATCCAACAAATCTGACTGCCTGTTCATTATCCACCACACTGGAATGGTTTGGAGAAAAGATCAAAAGTATGCTCACCACCCGTGACCTTTCCAGTGAAGCTAGCCACTCTGCTCGAAGCATCCCTGTCTTCACCCTTTTCAGCATGCTTTCAGAGTCTGTTACAATTACGACAAGTGTATGGATCTTGTTCTCTAGCCACCGGAGAGCTGCAGTTACCGCCTCCACCCCATTCTCATGCTAGATTTTGTGGTGTCATATGCTAGGCTGTCTTGCACTAAAGATTTTCCATTGGCTTTCGCTACGAATCCCCATGCACTTCTCTTTCCTCTCAGCACCGAACCATCTGTATAGATAATCAGATCACCTGGGCGTAAATTGTCGTGAATCAACGGTTGGACTTCAACCTTTGTAGCACCCGCTTGCCACTCTCTGCACACGCAGCTCAATGTGATCATAATCCTACACATTTTAAGCTTTTTTCGCTGATACTCTGACCAACTCCTCTCCTGGTCCAATGTTCTCCAGCATGCATACTTGTCTTATAATGACTTTTGCTTTAAAAATCAACGATTTTCCCCCTTTTCAGCCTCTGACCCTTGCTTGCAGCCAAAGCTCCATACAGAGGGTGTTCCCTGTCTACAGCTACTCTGAGATATGACTTGCAGCACTTTTAGCCTATCTGCAATAGCTGGCAATGCAAGGATGTATCGCATGCACACAATCTTTTGTGTCTTTTGTACAACCCTGGATCAGCCACATAGCTTCATTCAAAGATGTGCTAATCGCTCTGCCCGCTTTTACCATGCATATAAATTTCTCTTTGTATTTTTAATGTTATTTAATGTTATTTAATGTTATTTCAAATGTAAATGTAAGTGCAGTTCAGCATGTTTTTAATGTTATTATTATTATTATGCTCTTAAGTAGAACAAGACCTTCAAGTCCCCTTCCCCTACTAGTCCCAACTTTTGAACCTATTCCCTCCCTACACGATAAATTCTTTGTGTGGACGACTCTCAAGTCTAATATATGGCCAAACAATCATTCCTCATTTGTCACTTCACATCAGAAGTGGAATATCATGATGACGATGATGGTCCTCTTCTTCTTTTTCTTCGTTTTCTTCTTTTTAGCGTTCACAGACTGTAAACTATCTCCTTTCTCTGCATCTGATTTAGCTCCAGAATTTGAGTTGTATTCCGCTTTGATTTATATATTTATATATTTTGTTGTTGTTGTTGTTGTTGTTGTTGTTGTTGTTGTTGTGGTTGTTGTGGTTGTTGTGGTTGTAGTGGTTGTTGTTGTGGTTGTTGTTGTTGTTGTTGTTGTTGTTGTTGTTGTTGTTGTTGTTGTTGATGGTAGAACGTTGGTTCTGTGATTTAAACTATCCTAACTAATCGAAAACTGTCCTAACTAGTATACTTTTACGACATGCTTTTTAAGGGACGGTCGGTCTAATATTCCACTGTCTCCCCCACTTTCGAATGTGACCATAGATCTAATATGGGGGGGATGACGATAATGATCATGTTTAGGGATAATGATGATGATTTTGATAAATCTGCTGGTAATAACGACACAGACGACGATAATCGGGGGATGATGATCAGTTGATGACGATGACGACGATAAGTTTGCTATTTTTTCTGAATAGTTAGTAAATTAAAAAAAAACAACAAGTAAAACAAAATCAAACATATACACACACCAAAAAGAGTCTCAAAACATTGTCATTGTGCATTGTTTTAGTCAGCCAACAATACTAATGAATCAATTGTCATAAGAAACATTTATAATGTGTATAGTGTAAATTTTGACATATCAATGTGTTTATATCTGTATAATGGATACAACATTTTATATTTACAAATCATCATCTGTGTCAGTAAAGTGTGAACAAACGTTTGGAAAGAACTGATTTGAAATATTACAATGGAACCAGTGTAAGATTGGTTCATCCATATTTTGTAATAAAATTTTTTTTTAATATACTGATTAACACTCAATGATGCAGAAGAAAGAAGCAGACATGGGAGTGCACACTACACAAGAAGAATTAGTTGCGTATCCTTTACATGACGTTGCAGAACCAACCCCAGCACTTTCTGGCTATTATGGTTTTTCTAGGCAAATTTACGTCCAGTAGTTTGCCATTGCTTTCTAAACGGTCGGCTCTTGGTACCACAGTCGAAACCATTCAAGACAAACCGTCCGCAGCAGGGATAGAACCGGGTACCCAGACATTACGAAGCGCGCTGGCAACACCTAAGCCATAGACACCAACTACGCAAGACACCAGTCGAAATGACCTCAAGTGTTCCCCGTTGATTATTTATGCGCATTCTAAACAACATTCTGACCTATTGATTGTATCATCAGTCATAGGAGAATTATTGTTTGTAAAATATTCTGAAAATTATAAGTAGAAACAGATAACGAATCATCTACCAGTCATTGAAATGGGTTAACAAATGGACTGAAGAAGCGAGGACGTTCAAGAGAAACCCACAAAGGAAGGTTGTAGAGGAAGACCAAAGGGGAAGGTCTTGATTCCATTCACGCTATTGAGAGGATTACGCAAGGTAAAAGAGACTGGACGACAAGACTGCGAACCATATGTGACTTATAGCGACACTCGAGAAAATTAATCCTGTCAACAAATGCCTGCAGAAGTCAGATGTGTCAGCTGAAAGGCACAAATATCGCAGCCACGCTGTAAACAGACACAAGACAATTACATGTTTGGATGAAAGCAGAAGAAGAAGAAGAAGCAGTATAGGGACACAACATAATAATGATTATTGTACCCATCAGGTGCACCAGACACCATGAGCATGTTAACTTATGTCTGGATTGTGAGGAAACTGAGCAAGTTCAGCAACGTTCCAAATGCAGAATTAATTCAGGATTGATTGATTCAATCATTGTGCATTGGAATTATGGAAATCAGTCAACCCTCCCCCTCCACCTCCCTCCCCTCTACCACCATATATATATATATAGGTAGCAGGGACGTGGCCAAGCTCGTCCCATATATTTTTTAGTGGGGTCACAGAACATCTCGAAGAGGGTTAAAGGCACTTACTGATGATGACTGCACGGATGTCCTCTTTTATAATATTGTGTTTATACATTTCATATCTTTTCAAATATTTTTTTCTTGGACATTCAGCGCAAAGTAATAATAATAACCATAACAGGTATAACTATGCATTTTAACAAAACAAGGCCAACACACATTGAGTCCGCAGAGAATTATAAAGCTGCAGACCGGTTTGCCGTTAAGTTAGAACGACGACAAATGACTAATGACCTCTTAGCTAGAGGGAGCTAGTCGTTTATGATTCCTGTAGATTACCTACTGCTGTGAAAGTAGCGAACAAAGGCTGGCAAATAGCTAGTATGCTGAACTCCCATGCGGAAAACCTGTGTTCGAATCCTCAAGCAAGGTGACAGAAGTTCCCCCCCCCCCCTAGACTTTTATGATTGAAAATAAAAATCGGAAAACCTTTTGATTTATTCGTGTACGCACCAGACGGGAAAACTAAGAACATTATATACCCGAAAGCACTTCAGTAAACAATTACAATGACATTTTAAATTGCCTGTTTTTTCCTAAGGATATGTAAACAGCACAATCATCCAATTTAAATACTACATATTGTTATCTCGACTTTGCTTTCAACTGAATTTCTATTAGAGGCGTAGCAACGCGCGCTTAGTACAGATTACCATAGCGTTCATTTCGTAATTATTGTGCATTTTTCCTGTTTTCGTTGCTTTTCACTTGGGTAATTTTTCCAACTACTTCGATGTACGAAGCAAGATTTCTATTTTCTTTCTTGTCAATTAAGCCAAACTATGCCACAGCAACGCGTGGCCGGGTACAGCCTGTTAAAAATAAAAAAATCCAAGCTTGCATAGTTTGCGATGACTGCATTAGCTGTGAAGCCCTAAATACGACATGACCCCCTGCCATCCACCAGCCTATGTAAAGTGGTAAATACAGATACGAGTGTCAAACATGGATAGCAAACAGGCAGGTACAAATGGAAGGATACCATTATCCGATAAACGAACAGAAGTTTCACTAGTTAAACTTCTAGGACGAATTACAGAGCTTGTTAAAGATCCATTGCACTCAATCTTCACCGTGAAGTATGCAATTAGTTAGAATTGAAAATGAGAGTTATTTGAAAATGTGTGACTTTACACAATTCTTCGATTTAGTACACTTTATCAAATCTTCACGTTGGCCAGGATATTCAGACAATTATCTTTCAAATTTCGTCTACTGGCAATTTCATTAAGAATCTTCACTTTTTTAGCATTTTTGTCTTTTAGACTGTTGGATCTGTAAGGTAAATTTGTGGAACAGATGCGTTTAGCATTTTTTCTTGGATCCGTCGTACTTTTAGATCGGGATGTCCTCTCCTTTGGTACATCCAGCGTTTCTTCTGTGTCTTTATCTATTTGATCCATTACTTCCTCATTGTCAAAATCAGGGATATGTATACACTCATAAATTATGTTTGTATTGCCTATTTCTTCTTCGTTATTTTCCATGTCAAGTTTGGGTTCAGTACATACCTCTATAGACTGCCTTTGTATTTTATTCTCAGCTGCTACTTTTTGCACCTTTCTTATGCCTGTAGCCTTGTTATTTTTCTGAAGATTGTTTATGATACTTGCCTGACGATAGCTGGCTCTGTGTGATATTTTGCCATGCCTCTCTGCAAATCCACTGCTATTAGACTTAGAAGACATTTGAGGCAATGATGCAGGTGATCTGCCTGTTTCCTCCATGCATGCTTTTCCAGTTTCTAAAGGTTTATTTGAGCTGAAGTCCAGCTTCGGAAGCAGCACGTTATTTTCTGGCTGCAATTTTGTCTTGTAGTTGGGAGCTGCTACTGGTTCTTTAGCAGCGATTGGAGGTAGAGGCACATGCCTTTGGGGAACCTTCTCAGCATGCACCACAAGAGATCGAGGTTTCAGCACATTTCTTTTCAACGGGTTTCGCCCCTTAGGCACATACAACCCGCCCGTGTGGGAACTGCTTTCGTTGGCAGAAGCGTTCGCATTTTCAGAGAAACCGACTTTTCCATCCCCACTTCTGCGACTTCTGGTCTCACTTTCATAATCGCTACTTCCGTCTGAAAATGCGTCGCTTTCGAATTGAGCATCTAATGCCTCTTGCTTTTTGTGAGCTTTCTTTTTGCTCTGCCGTTTCGATTCCTCTATTTGTAGCATCTTGACTGCTGCTTGGGTGTGGCTGACTCGGACTTCAAGCTCCTCCAGCTGAGAGAAGGAGTCGCTGTGTGTGGTATCAAGACCTCTGTTGGAGAAAGTGACAGTTTCTGTTATAACATGACACATCAGGAAATAATGTAATACTTGTAGTAGTACCAGTAGTAGAAGTAGTACTCGTAAATGTGGTAGCAGTAGTCATCTTAGTCTTAGGCTTAGTCCAGGGTTCAACTTCACTGCAAATAGGTCACCCCATACTTACTCTTTTCCCGTGCTAGTGAAAATCAAAAGAAATGCGCCTCCCCCTTCACACTGTCCCATTCGAAAACCCGATAAATTAACAATTAATCCCGGCACAATCATCAAATATGCGCAGGCAGTAAATGCATATGGCAGTTGCCAGAGACGCCAAAGCCAACAGTCGTCACCAGAAATACAGTTTGTTGTTGAGGGAACTAGTCTGGCACGATAAGCTGACTATTCACACGTAGAATTAATACATAAGATATTTCACCAGCCCACACATAAACAAGCTGCCGGCCATACTGAATAACCACGACTGAGCCGTTGAACAAATTAAAGGCATTCCATTTCAAAAACAGAGCTCACAGGGCTGCACCAAGCTCTAAACTCAGTAGCTCAGACAGCGAAACCGTAGACTACCGTCCAAATGTGAAACTGCATTTAAAAAGCGCTGTTGGCAGCAAAACAACTTCTAAGTGTTAGATATAGTAGTACTAGTTGCAATGGTAGTAGCTGCAATAGTAAAATAGTAGTAAATATAATAGTAGTAAATATGGTGGAAGTAGTTCTAATAGTAGTAGTAACAGTAGTAAAGGTAGTTGTCGTAAATATGGTTGAGGTAGAAGTACTAACTGTAATTGTAGAAGTAGCAATATTGGAAACCGCCGTCGTTTAGCGAGTGGACTTTCACCTGCGGATCCGAAGGGCGTGGGTTCAGGTTCAATAGCCTGACTTTAAAAAAAAAAAGACATAGGCTCCCAGGTCGACACAGCTTTAAATGGGTACGAAGTAAGGTCCTGGGAAGTAAAGACAGTCGAAATGGTGTTGACCACATCACCCAACGTGCATTGATTTGTGAATAATATATAGGTATAATCCTCTATGACCAATAGAGCATGTGGAAAAGGGTACTTATTGCTAATTAGTAGCAGTAGTCATCAGTATATTAGTATTTGCAATATTTTTAGTAGCAGCAATAGTAGTAGTAATTGTAGTAGCAGTAGCAACGATAATCTTCTTCTTCTTCTCTTCCACCTTGTACCTCATCGAAGTGTCGGGCGAAGATGTAATGTTCGTTGGTGAGCTCTGTCAAGAGTACTATTACGATTGATGTTCATTTCTGTAAGGCTGTTCTTAATGACATCACTCCATATTTTACGAGGTCTTCCACTCGCTCTGTACCCGTTGTAACGTTTTAGTGTGGCTCGCTGTGGCAGATAGTACCAGGGCATTCTTGTTAGGTGTCCAAACCACTTCATTTGTTGTTCTTTGATGAACTGTAAGACTGGCTTTATTCCTAGCATTCGTCTGATTTCATGATTTCGCATTCTGTCTTTCCTTGAAACTCCCGCATTCTTGTTAGGTGTCCAAACCATTTCATTTGTTGTTCTTTGATGAACTGTAAGACTGGCTTTATTCCGAGCATTCGTCTGATTTCATGATTTCGCATTCTGTCTTTCATTGAAACTCCCGCATTCTTGTTAGGTGTCCAAACCACTTCATTTGTTGTTCTTTGATGAACTGTAAGACTGGCTTTATTCCTAGCATTCGTATGATTTCATGATTTCGCATTCTGTCTTTCCTTGAAACTCCTGCAGCTCTTCTAAGGACTTTCATCTCTGTTGTCACAAAGCAACGATAATACCAGTAATAATACAGTGGTGGTAGATATGGTACAAGCAGCAGTAAGAGTTAATAGCAGAAATACAATACTAACAGTAATGCTTCTCTTTTTTCGGCAGAGCGCCTGGGGCCACTCCATGGTGTTATAGAACACACAAATAAAAAGTAAAGTAAAAGTAAATATCCCTTTTCACGCCTTTGGCGCATCAGGCATATGGGAAGAGCACCCCATATTTTTACAGACCAATCGGCACCAGTTGGGTAATGTGGTCAGCATTTACCTGCCGTCTTTACTTCCCCAGGATATCCATCCTGGTACCCATTTTTTTAAGGCTGGGTCGACCTGCGACGCCCCATACCATGATAAAAATCCACGCAGCCAGCAGTGGGTTTCGATCGCGGGACGATGGAATTACGAGTCCGACTTGTAATGCCTAAGCCATGAACGCCGCGAATTCACAAATAGGAGAGTATATATCTGCAGCTGTGATATCATAAAGATATATAGCACATTGATAGGTCTTCATAGAGATATAAAACTGACCTACACGTCATGCCAAAAATATACAACCAATCTATAGATCTTCACAGAGATATTGAACTAAAATTCAGTCGTCGTAGAGACAATGAATTTACCCATAGGTCATCATAGTATACATAACTCACCTGTAGACCATAATGAAGCCAGAGATCTCAAAATCAGGTCCTCTTGGTGATAAATAACTGACTCACGTGTTCTCATGTAATACAGAACTCTAGATCCTCACGGACAATGAGAACTCATATGTAGGTCATCATTATGATTAGGAACACACCCATAGTGCAACACAGAGATATAGACCTCACCTATAGGTCATCATAGTGATATAGATGTTGTAAACTGCGTTTTTGATCTTGTAGATCTCCAGGCTAGCACCAGTAGAGCTCTCCATCTGGTCTTGTATAGCTCTTTCTATCTGTGCTGACTGAAACACGATCACATGATGACCACTTCATCAACAGGCCTTTCAATTCAGTCAATCACACGGACAATCAAAAAGTCACTAATTAAATAAATCAATTAACCAATAAAGCGATTAAAAATATTAGTCTTTAATGATTAGTTCATCGCTATCATCGTCATCAACATTGTCATAATCATTTCTCCTTTTCCTTAAACATTGTGGGTAGGAAGAAGAGTCTGGCCGAACGGTTAAAACGCTGACCTTTCAAACGGGAGACCTTGGTTCAAATCCTCGGTAAGGTTGGTATTATTTGTTTCTGTCAGGAAAAAGCGGAGTGGGGTGGGGGTGGGCAAAAAATAAAATCCCGTTGTGACAGCACTAACCATGCTGTCCTAAATCCTCAGGCGCAAAGACACCCCCATTCCCCCTTTCCCGACCTCACAGACCACAAAGGGGCAAATACCAGCAGAAGTGACAGTGGGGCAGTTATTAGAAGGAGCAGTTGGCCCGATTCATGCGTCGGTTGGCGTAACTGTTATTTCGTTAGGATAGAAAATGTATTAAATATCATCCAATCATCTTCTGCTTGGATGCCCTTTGGCCGATACATCATATGTCTTTGTTTTGATAGTCGTGGCTACATACTAGCCGGGGAAAAAAAAAACATGTGGTTTCTGCTTCTCAATGAATTTTGGTACAAAGTGTTGTTTTTACAATCTGTGTGATAGCATTCTTCCGTACTAGGTCGTGCATGATTAAAATGATTGCTTTCCTCTGGGCATCTCATTTAATCATCGCGCGTTATACACGCAGAGCTCGAAGTGTATTCTTTCAAATCGTTCTAGCCTTGCAATCGTTTCAATATCGTGGATGGAATTCAATCCAGCATCGTTGGCCTCTATCATCAGCGTTCGTCTTAAGGTTTCTTTCGACAAATACAAGCGAACGTGTCGATTAATGTTTTGATCAACGGAATACTAACTGTGGTTGGAAAACTCAACAGACTAGACAACACTGCGTCGAAACTTTCAAGGTCTACAAGAAATGCGTAATAGGAGAAACATATGAACGCGAAGGGTTATATTACTAACCGAAATAAGTAAGAAGAGTTTGAAAAACAGAATGGATGAAATGCACAAATCTAAAAAAAAAATAAAATGCATACAATTAATATAGTTGTGTTGAATATTGACTCATCGAGAAAGCCAAAACAGTGAATTAAACGATGCTATAGGAAGTGGTGGCTAGTTTGATAACCGGAGCAAGATTTTTTAGCAGTAACTGAGATATTGTCATACCTTCATGGTCAGACCGGTAAAATGGGGTGTAGTCGGTGAGAAACCGGTAGAAACACCCGCCCCTTGCATTAACTTACCTCAGTTTGAAGATGTTTAATCCTGCTATGCATTTCTGCCATCTGGTTGTGCATCAGCATGTTGCGGTGGTTCGTCTCAGCTTTGACCTCACTCAGGGCCTCCGTCAAATGGTTCAGTAAATTTTGCCGGTCCTCGTAGTCGCTGTATAGTTCCTACAGAGACGAGTGTGCACCCGTAACAAGGGATAGAACTTATGTAAAATCATTACTGCTGCTTGTGTCGGGAAAAACATGTAGTTAGTTTCCTTTTCACGCAAGTGTCGCATGGAGCGAGTGTTTTGTGCAAATGATAGCTTGCATAGAATTGTTACTCGGATATGGGATATGGTCCAGTGTTCTTTAACTTTTTTTTTTTTTTACACTTGTGGACGAATAAAGCAGGGAACATTGTTTCACAGACCACCTGACAGTTTAGTGCATTTAGCAGTGTCAGGCACCTACTTTACTCTGTACATTTAATATGGCTCGCTAGGTAGGCCAGCTAACAGACTCAAACTAGCCTAAACACACTTAAGACACACTCCTGCTGAGTACAAACATAATCTTTAATGTACAATGAACAAACCGACTTTAAACACTTCAACTAAGTAGGCAGTTCCCATCCGAAACCCCTGGCGATGAACAGCTGATGAACAATCGTTGGTCAACCCAAGCCGGTCCCCATGGATCTACAAGGAACACGACTCCTAGCTGATAGTTTCTCAGTGCTAAATAAGCCGCTGTCTATTGCCACACGGGACTCAGCGATACACGTAAGGTGTATGGCCTAAGCGGGACTGGGCAGTGTTATCGCCATTACAATGCGCGTCACACCTTTACTAACTGCTCAAACAAATACTGCATGGAATGTCTACTACACAAGGAACATTAACTCTATGCTATCTAGTCGAAACATTAAATATAAACACGGCCTATCATAGATTCTAATCACAAAGATCCTATTCCAACTAACTGTCGCTGAACCTAATGTTACCTAGTCAAAACGTACCGTCTTGTCTCATCCCGTCTCAGTACACGACTCTTCTCCAATCAGCTCGGACAAAGCTTTTTGTTCCTCGGCCTGAGTTCACGGCTGGACACGCAGTAATCCGTGTCACCTGTGTGAACTGGGCTTGGCCCGTTAATTGGACCCAGTTTATTCCGTGGTCAAGCTGTCCGCTCTCATACTGAGTTTTACTGAAGGTCAACTCGTTCATACGTGATGATTCACTATTATCAGATTTGTCCGTCCCATAGCCGAACTGGCAGTTTATTGGCAAAACCATGTGTCGTAAAACTTCACTTGCATGCTTATGCACATCTGCAGCTGCTGCTTCAGAAGATTACACAATCTGAATAACGTGGATGGAGCGTTGTTTCGAAAAAAAAAAAGAAACAATGCAGTAACAATAATTAGTTGTCTGTTTTGTTGTTATTGCTGATGGATGAGATATCTTTGAATCTAAACTAGGCAGTCGGACAAACTATAAACAGTCTCATAGCTCTCTAACACATATCATGAAACGATATCAAACCAAACGGAATGTAGAATTTCCCAGCTTCCTATTACCAGTCACAAACAACAAGTGAACGTTGCGGCTATAGAGCCTTCATCATGGCACTAAATAAATAGACAATGTTCAATTAGGATCAGAGATGGGAATTATTTATTAGTGGATGACCTGGAGATTTCCATAAAAATAAATGCTGAAAATCACTGATGTAGTAGACATCCCTGTGTTGCTGTAAGTTCAGTTTTATTCCAAGTTAACTCTGTCTGCCCCAAGAAATTTTTACTTTAACTCCTTCTGTCCCAAGGACTTAGCTAAACAGAAATGAAATACTCAGGTCTAACGGAGTTCAATAGAGACACTTCCCTTCTTCTCTTCCACCATTTACCTCAGAGAGACACCATGGATCAGAAGTGGATAAAACAATAACTCAGATATACAGGGTCCGTGATTGTATATAACGAGAATATTATATATTGGAATGAACCTAAACGTAGACTTGAAATGAGTCAAGACGTAGACTTGCAGTGTACCTTGGTTTGCACCCGCTTTAACATCTAGGGTTGACAACACAAACGCCGCTCAGCTTCTTGGTACAATCTGTCAGTTTATTCTGGTCCATTTATTTCACATGTTCAAACATTATTCACACTGTATCACTCGCGACATATTCGAACATTAAACATTTGCGCAACATAAAGACGACATCTTCAAATACTACAACCGTCTTCTCTGACTTCTGATGATCGACTGACCACGAGGCTAGCTCGGGCTTTCCCTCGCTTCCTCGACTAGGCACAAGTATCTCGTGCTGTCCCTTGTTGCACGGACTTTCTGCTTGCCACTATGTAATCGTGAGGACCATGCAAAGCAGGGTCATTACATCCTCCCGCCTTTTAACAAAATGATACTTTATGGAACATCAAGTATCATTTTCCATTCAACTTTTAAATGAATCAATAGCACTAAAATCTAACTTCGCTATTCGGGATTAGTGTTCCTAATTACCCTAAATTACTGCTTTTATTTTAATACTCTATGATTTTTCTAGTACTAAACTGGTGAAGGGTATCTTTATCTTTGCACGTATTGCATCTGTAGTATAGCTTCGTCACTATATCTATTCTATCAGGTTCAAGTGAAATGATCATTGTGATGATGGTGATGATAATGGTCAACTTTGAGATATTTACTACAGGAATAATAAATCAATTTAAATGTATTACTGCTAGGAATTATAGTTCCTGACTATCCTTAATTACTGCCCTTTAAAACTGCTTTCAGTATTTACTGCATGCTTTCCCTGTACTGAGCTGGTGAAGAGTTTATACCATCTTTACACCTATTGCATCTGTAGTATTGTTTAGTCACTATATCTAATCTATCGGGTTTAAAGTGAAATGATGATAGTGATGATGATGATCAGCTTTGAGATATTTATTACATAACATAGAAAATTGGATTAACGAATATTTCTACATCACCTTTCACAGGGTATTAAACCCCAAGGACTCTTAGCCGATCTGATAGTGGTAAGATATATTTAACATAGTGCTTCTAGTTTCCCAAAAGCCCCTATAACACCTTTTACAGGGTAATTACCCAACCCCAAGGAATCTACCACTGAAAAAAAAAAAAAAAAATACATGTTGAGATATTTTTTCAGACCAAGGTCTCACCTTTCACAGAGTATTACCCAACTCCAAGGAATCCAACATGAAAACAATGATAGTTGAGATATATTTTTTCATAGATCTTAGAGTTTCCTCCAAGTCTATATCACCTTTAACAGAGTATTCAACTCCAAGGAATCTCAGATGAAATGATGACTATTGGGATGATTTTTAATAGAGTTTAGGGTTTCCCCACCAGTCTCTACATCACCTTTAACAGAGTATTCAACTCCAAGGAATCCCACACACCTTTTCCCCCATTAAATGGATACAGATGAGTTCAACAACTCTACTGTGCTTGTGCTTTGATGTGTGCACTTTCTCTTTACCATCAGTATGTCTATTCATCATCAGTATAACTATAGCCGTTCCTAATCTTGGGTGTGATGGACAACTTTAGCATGTCCCTGTGCTGTGTACCTATGCCAAAACATTTCAAATTAAATATTTTTATCAAAGTCATTCTGTGGAAAAAGATTTCTATATCACTAAATCTTGATTTAATTCTTGTGTGCTGTTCCTGGGGAGAAAATTTCTTTTTCTTTTTGAACGTTTGAACTACTGTCATTACATGAATACTAAACTATTCTTAATGAACTACTAACCTAAGTAAAATACATGTACACTATTAAAATACTACCCACAAATCTTTCATTCATCATTTATACCTGTTTTATTCTCTTTCATTCCCATTCATTCCATTAACTATCCTTGATCTTGATCCATCCCTGCAGGCTGTGTGTGTCTTGCCTATACTCTGGCGCTTGCTTTTAAGGTTCTCATTCCCTGGTTCTCTTGACAATCTGTTCTGCTCTGGGGCCTCTCTTGGTAGGATAGCTGGTAATCTTGCAAATATACTGACTAAAAATATTATTATAATTTTATAAGTTGAAACAATACTATTAACAGTGTTCAGTGACTGCATACACTGATATGCCACCTTTAAAATAATTAGTAATGAAATTAAACGGAAGGTGTTCAATACACACAGTATGTGACTTCTAAATGAAACCAGGTGTTTATGCATTTTTTTAAAATACTTCATTAATTTGATATTTAAACAAACACTAGATAATTAACTTGATTAACTTTCACAATTAATATTTGTGTACACACGATGTAATACTGACATTTTTGTGGCTGTTGATTGTGCTTAAACTGTAGGAATGCTTCATTATTCTCGCATTCTTTATTTTATGATACGTTTAGTATTCGACGATCTTGATATTGTATAGATGCTCTTGAAGTGTCGCGTAGAATTTGATGATTTTGAAATGTTTCAATGGTCGATTTGTAGGTATCTGGAGAAAATAATTTCTGTTCCTTATAGTGATTTTCAAATTTGAATAATTCAGTGGTTGATATGTTTCTGTTCATTCACTGTACAGTACAGGTTGGTGATTTCTGATTTTGGTTGAATTAAGACAATCTTGACGGTGAAGAATGGTAAAATATCAATTCTTGATAATTGTTCAGGTTTTGGTTGTAGGTAGTTCTATGTGGCTTCCTGACTGATAATAATCTTGAACTTTATGCATGGTGATATGTTAGCTTGATGATGTTCAGGATGATGGACTGTATAGTTTCATGTTAGTAAATAGTGATACTTCAGTTGATGGTAATTTTCCTTGAATCAGCTGTTATTTTTGTTGATAGAGATAACTTTGTTCCCAGACTCGTATGTCTTCATCAGAACAGTCTCTAATGTTGAAGTCTTTGTATCCCAGAATCACATCTGTTCCGATGTTGCTCAATACCACTACTTTCAATGGTCTTGATATATAGGGCGACTTCAAATAAATATAAGCTGTCCGAAATCGCATCAACAAACCTTCTCTGTCTAAACAGTAAACCATTTCTCCGCTATAATCTGATTTTTCTAAAAAATTTTCATGTACGAAAGTGATATTTGATTTTCTATTTAATTGCATTTGTGCTGGTTTCTTGTTTATCAAACATTTAGTTGACTTTTCCCAATATTTCTGACTTGTTGCTCTGTGGAATTGATCATAATCTATATATTTATTGCTCTCTAATAATGAAAATTCTTTATTCATGGCTTGTTTATCTATTAGTATTTCACAGTCTGATTTTTTCACCCATTGAGTTGCTTTTGTCTCGACTGATGTCCTTGGAATAGTGATATCCTTTGCTTGATTAATTTTCATTGTTTCTGATTTTGACTTTTTATCTGTTTCAGTGTCTGCTGTCTTTTTCGTTTCAACTTTCTTGCTTGTATTACTACTTTTGCTGGATTCTAGCTCTGCAATCACAATTTCGTTCTTTATCTTTTTAGTTCCTGGACATTTCAATTGGCTTTTTCCTATAAACATGATATGTGGAGCTGTAACTTTTCCTTGATTCTTTCTCAAGTAGCACAGTGAACAATCTAGAGTAGGAATACCTTCTGAATCTATTTTAACTGAATTAGTTCTTGCAAACAAGGATCTTTTCTTGTCTTTTAACATCTGTTTTCCAACACAGTGTTTTACAATATGTCCGAATGCCTTACAGAAGTGGCACTTTTTAAGGTTATTCTTTTGTTTATTTTGCCACTTTATTGACCAAGTCTTCAATATAACTTGAATATTTAGGATCTCTATCGCAGATAGTTGAAGAACTGTGCTGGTACTTGCAAAAAATGCACATCTTGATCTTCTGGTTGCTTATCGATGTATCTTTCATTGTTGTCGCTGAAGATACTTGCGACAAAGTGTTCTTACTTTTTACCAACCTTTTAGATGCCATTCTGATAAACGCACAATCGATGCAAAAATGTCACCGTAGTAAGCAAACTGATCGTAACAGTAAATAAAATTGGTTCATAGTCCGCTAGTTTCCGCGAAACAATAATGGTCACAAACCTGATTTAATTTACAAACCAGATTTAAAATATTTACGATGTGTAACTCTGGTGAACATGAAACTTCCTGAATTCGCGAAACTGAGTGATCCGGTGTGTGGCGGGGCGTAGATGACACACCGGTTTTCATTGGTCGGCAGCTGACCTGTCGCAGCTTGCTGTGTTTATAGGCTCTGTTTGGGTGAAGACGATGTATTGTACACTATTTTCCGCATGGTTATCTTACCTTGCAAGAAAAATTGTTTTCATATGATTGAGGTCCGCGTGGTTTCGAATTTCCTTCGGACAAGCTCCCCACTTGGAATGAACCGATACGTAGACTTGAAATGAGTCAAGACGTAGACTTGCAGTGTACCTTGGTTTGCACCCGCTTTAACATCTAGGGTTGACAACACAAACGCCGCTCAGCTTCTTGGTACAATCTGTCAGTTTATTCTGGTCCATTTATTTCACATGTTC